AGAGCCTCTTCCTCCAGGCTGCAGAGAGAAGGGGAAGAGAGGCTCTTGGCTCGCCGCGCCGTGACGTCGGGGGAGAGGGGCGGGGCTGGCGGGGGCGCGGGGCACGCCGGGAGAGCCTCTTCCTCCCCTCCAGGCGCGCGTGCGCAGTGGGGCCCGGCCTTTCCCTCCACGCCAGGCGCCGAGCAAGATGGGGCACCAGCAGCTCTACTGGAGCCACCCGAGGAAGTTCGGCCAGGGATCCCGATCCTGGTGGGTGGGGGGCGGGGAGGAGGGAGCGGGGGGTCGGGGGGGGGAGAAGGATGAGGGAGGGAAAGGAGCCCCGCCGCCAGGAGGCGCCTCAGGGAGGGAAAGAGAGGGAGGAGGAAAGGGCAGCCAAGCCGAGGGGGGGTCTGAGGGGAGGGGGGAGGAAAGGGAGGGGGGAGTATAGGGAGGGGGGAGTCCCCCCGGCTGACCCCAGGCCTCTCTCTTTCACTCCCCCGTGGGAGGGGGCTGAGGGGGCGCTTCCTCCGAGGGGAAGAGGGGGGAATAAGGGAGTGGGGGGCCCCTGCTGACCCCCAGGCCTCTTCCTCTCTTCCCCAGCCGCGTGGAGGGAGGGAGGAGGCCCCCCATTCCTCGGGGCTCTTTGATGGGAGGGGGGAGTGGATAGGTCAGGGGCAGCCAAAGCCCGGGGGGGGTCTGAGCGGAAGGGGGGAGTCATAGGGAGGGGGGGAGGAAAGGGAGGGGGGTCCCCTGCGCACAGGCCCTCTCTCTTCTTCTCTCCCATTCCCCTTCTGTGGGAGGTGGGCTGAGGGGGCGCTTCCTCCGAGGGGAGTGGGGGTCCCTCCAGCTGACCCCCAGGCCTCTCCCTCTCCCCCCCAGCCGCGTCTGCTCCAACCGCCACGGCCTGATCCGCAAGTACGGGCTCAACATGTGCCGCCAGTGCTTCCGCCAGTACGCCAAGGACATCGGCTTCATCAAGGTGAGATGGGGGGCCAGGGAGGATGGAGGGGCTCTGGGATGGGGGGAGGGCGCTTCTCCAGGGAGAGAGGCCAGCGAGGGCCGTCAGCCCTGCTCCTTGCGCTTCCTGAGCCTAAATGGCGGGCAGAAGGGCGAGGAGCCAGTTGCTCCTTCCCAAGAGGAGAGATGCCCTGAGGATAGAAAAAGGGGCCTCTGGGTCCTGGCAGTCACAGGCCCACAGGAAGAAGCCCCGGTTTGGGGGACTCCAAGGGAAAGTCATGCTAAACGTCTTCGCTCTTCTCTCTCCCACTTTTCAGCTGGATTAAACATCTGTCCACCCGCAGAGATGGCCTCAAGAGGACGGCAAACATGGAAGCTGCTTCAGCCGGATGAGACCCTCTTGCTGCACATAAGATGCTTTTGTGTACAGAAAAATAAAAAATAGGGACTTGTTTGCCCAGATTCTCAAACTCTGATGTGATGCTCGTGATTTGACATAGTTCTATAGTCAGAGCAAATAGCGCTTGGAAGGAGGAGATAGCAGGGGTTGGATCCAGCACCCAAAAGGGGCCTTGTCATATCCATGGTATGAGTTAGGGGCCCAACTGAAGGGGAGTCTTAGTTACAGAGAGACTCCTCCGTTTCCTGACTCTTTTGTACCCGGTTGCTTCTCATAACAACATAAAAGAGTTCTGCATCTGGTTCAGACTAGTGGCAGCATCCCTATCCTCGCAGTGGCCAACCTGGCACCTGTGGGAATCCTTTAAGCAGGACCTTCCTGCAGTTTCTAGCAAATGGAATTCAGAAGCATGGTGTCTCCGGCCCTCCTTGGCCCTCACTTCCTCTTAGGTTCTTCAGCAGGAGAGTCATCTCAGCAAGTGAGCAGAAGTTTATAAAATGTCAGGTTGGGCGCAGGACATACGTTTCAAATGTCCAGTTTTCTCCAGGCAGGGGTGGAAGTTGTCGCCTTCTAGTCAACTTCACACTCCCATCTAAATGAAGGTTTCAATTCCCAAGTTTTGTGGTTTATATTTTATTTCTCTTTTGGAAAATATTTGCTGCCAATTTTACAAAGCAGATTTGTTCTATGATCCACAGGGGTTTGTTGTGGGTGTTTTTACAGTGGTGCCCCGCAAGACGAATGCCTTGCAAGACGAAAAACTCGCTAGACGAAAGGGTTTTCCGTTTTTTGAGTCGTTCCGCAAGGCGAATTTCCCTATGGGCTTGCTTCGCAAGATGAAACGTCTTGCGAGTTTGTTTCCTTTTTCTTAAAGCCGCTAAGCCGTTAATAGCCCGCTAATAGCTGTGCTTCGCAAGACGAAGAGACTCGCGGAAAGGATTAATTTCGTCTTGCGAGGCACCACTGTACATCAAAAGAGGTTGGAATCACTTGCAGTTTCACTATAGATAACATTCCCCACATGGGACTGCCATTTTGTGTGGCAAAGTTTCTTGACTGGCATGATTTCATCCTTCCTTTTTCAACCTTGTACCCCTCAGTTCCCAAAGGGTAGCCTGAGCATGCATGCCAGTTGACCATAGACCCACAGTGCTCAAGGCATCTACCAGCCTCAGCCTGCGAAGGAGCTAGAATTATAGGCCAGAGCTGCCTTTACCCAGCTAGTTTATATCCTCTAGAAGTTTGAAACTTGTTAAGGTGATCTATGCAACAGCCAGTAGATGGCAGGAGAGAGAGAGATTATACCTGCTATTAAATGTATGTACTGTACATCTAGAATTTTTAAGCTGTGGAGTTGTAGCGATGAGACCTGCTGGTGCTCAAGGCAGCTAGGAAGCCATTTTCTCTAATGCAAGCTTGGGGGGGGGGGGAGAGTGAGAAACCAGGAAAATTTATTTTGCAGGTGCTAAAATGAATGGGTAAAGCAACTGTAAAACAGGCAATGAAATGCCAGTTGAACCACTTCAATTCTAAGTCTGAATGTCATACCAGACTGCGTTGGAGGACCTCACCAGGGCAATCTCACCACAGATCGGTGGGAGTCTTCTCAAATCCACATGTTGAAGGGGCGAAGCTGGAGGTCCTGGGTTCAAGTCCTGGCCTCCGAGTAGGCTGAGGGAGGAGCCTTCCTGAAACTGGAGAGCTGCTTTCTGCCAGTCTGCACTAAAGAGATCAATTATTTCAGTGGTTTTCAACCTGTGCCGTAACACCCTGGGGTGCCTTGAAGGATGATCAGGGGTCCCGCAGGCAACACTGGCCTCTGTCCCTCTTTCCTTCTCTCCGTCCTCTGATGCCCTCTTTTATCTCTGCCTCCCAAAGGCTTGCATGGCTGTGTGTTGCAGCAGCCCTGGCTACAAGCTCTGCAGGCGAAAGGTGCCTCTGGGGCTGGCCAGGGGGTGCTTCCCAGGCCCATGTAGGGCAGTGTGAGGAGGTGCCAATCTTTGGGGTGGATGGGGGCAGCTCAAAGACCAGTAGCAGAAGCTGTGGTTGCCCAGAGGAGCAAAGAGAGGTTGAGGGAACACTCCACAGGGGAGGGTGTTCGAAAAAGGGTGAGGGGCTGCCAGCTCTGCAGGCAATGGGGTGACCTAACTGGGTTCCTGAGCCCCACAGGAATGCCGCAGAAAGAATGGAGTAGGTCAGGGGAGCTGTGGACTCAAATAGGTTGAAAACCTGAATTATCTGATTCAGTATAAAACAGTTTTCTATGTTCCTGCTCATCTATGACTTTTTAAGAATGTGGGAGAGAGGTTTTTGGTTTGTTTTTGTTTGATTAGGTGTTTTGTGAACTGCCCTGGGATCTTTGGGGTGCTTTTGAGAGCCAGTGTGGCTTAATGGTTGGAGAGTCGGACTGGGACTGAGACCAAGGTTCAAATCCCCCACTCAGCTATAAACTTCACTAGGTGATCTCAGGGGCCGGTCATTGCTTTCTCTCTTCTTGGAGGAAAAGGAGGGATATAAATGCAATAAATAAATAAATAGGTAAATGATGGTTTGCTGCGGGGGGGGGCGGGGCTTCAGTTTCCTGAGCTCTTTCTCTGATATCCAACACTTTTAAATTCAGCTTCTGAAAATAGTGCTCCATTCACTTCCTCTTCTAACATCTTCAGTTTGTGTCTGGCCAGGTAAAAATAGCTCCCTGTGCCAACTTTATGAACCACCTAGAAATAAACGCCTTTATCAGCTCCAAGCCATCCTTGCACCCTCCTCTAGCTGGGACCAGAGATGGATTTAAAGGCAGAGCATCAAGTCAAGATAGCATCCAGGGGCTTCCCAAAAGCCATTAATGGAATATGCCAAGGAAGGTTGCTGAAACAGCTGCAGACATGTGCAGAACTAGCCCATGATCAGGCAGGGGAGAAGAGCAGAGAAGTCTGGCTTCTGGATCCATCCTCATCTGACAGTAGTCAGACTCTCCAACAGAAAGAAGCCCACAAGCGGGACTGGAACAGCAGCAAATCTCTCCTGGCTCAAATTCATGATCTCCTGCCTCTTGTTTCTGTGTGGATGTGATACTGTGCAGTACCAGCCATGCTAAAAATTACTGGGTCATATCCAATTAAGCCGCCCATTCATTTCATTTCCACAGGCCCCATTTTGAGCATGATTAATGTCCGTAGAGTTGGGACCCCGAGAGTCATCTAGTCCAGCCCCCCTGCAATGCAGGAATCACAGCTCAAGAATTCTACATTGCCTCTGCTGTTGGGCGCAAGGCAATAAATTATGTCGATCATTTAAATGCCCAGCTGTCTCCCAAAGTTGCACGCAAGAATTTTTTAAGAGGAAAGTATCGTTAAGATATTTGAAGCAATAAACAGAGCGTCATAATACGAAACAGCAGGAGATCAGAGCCAAGGGTTGAGAACAGCAGGAAAATCCCTCGCAGGCCAAAGAGGACTCTGCAAGCTTGCAAGGTTTTTAACCTGGGCAATCAGAATAAAATGCACTTTTTGACTACTGATTCAAAACCCTAAAATGTATTTTATATAACTGACTTTTAAGTTTCCATTCTTTGCATATCGTATTGTTGCTTTATTGCTATGGCCGACGCAAATAAAGATCCATTCATTCATTCATTCACTCACTCACTCACTCACTCACTCACAAAGAGCAGCCATGGCGACGTCTCCTATTCTTCTCCATGGGAAGATTTCACTTCCGTTCCGGGGCGAAGGAAGGAAACGAGCCCGGAAGTTTAGCCCCAGACAAAAAGAAATACATACAGTAAATCCTGCGGTGACTCTAGACTTTTCTTATCTCTATGCGAAGCCGTGGCTGGGGAAGGTTTGCTACTAAATAGCGCAGCAGCAGAGAAAGAGCCGGACCGGGGAGGAAGGGGGGGGCACGTGCAGAGGTGAGATGCAGGAGAGGCATTGCAAAGAGGGAGGGGGAGGACAGAGGGTGGCCAGGTCCTTGCAAGACCCCCCCCGCCCACCATTCAGCCCTTCTTGCAACCCCCCCCCATGTAAGATGCCAGCTGTGCAGCATCAGTGAATTTGTCTGGGGAGGGGGCGCTTCGCAACATAGGGGATGGATCTAGGCCCTTGGGAACCCCACTGGGGTGGGAAGGGAGGGGGCTGTTTCTGTATCTAGGTAGCCCTGGCTATGGAGATGCCTGGGGAGGGGGGTTATTGGGTTCTTGTTTCTATTTTTATTATGTATTTTATATTTTTCTACTGCGATCTTATCTTGTGAACCACCCTAAGACCAACGTGTATAGGGCAGCATAGAAATGTGTCAGGGCAGAGGGTGTGTGGGGTGTGTGTGTTTAGAGAGGCATCTCCATGGAGAGGGGCAGGTATGGGGGGGCTGACCCATGCACCTCATGTAGGGTGAGCAGGCCAGGTGGGGGACCATTGACTTTACTAGGCAGAAAGCAGCTTTGCACGCTCCCAGAAGGACCCGCCCTCCATGCCAGGCAAAGCAGAGATAGCTCTGCACCCTCCCTGGATCAGAGCCCTTTCTTCCCGGGAGACACATGCCCAGAACCCTAGTGGGAGCATCCATCTGCCCTTGCAGTCCTCAACTGGAGAGGCAACAGCTGGATGCCTCTTCTTCATGATCTTATCTTCCCCATCTTGTTCTGCCGTAGGCAAGATTTTGAGGGATTTGGGCTTTCTTCACCTTTCGTCCATAGAAGGCCTATCTGACCACTGCCATTCTCACCTCTTTTTCTCCTCTTTGATCCTTGGCCCCCTCCTGAACCTGAGGATCCCAAGATGATGAGTCTGGGTTTGGGAAATGATTCACTTTCGAATTTACTCTGAGTGCTCAAACAGCAGAAAAGAGACTGTAGTTAGGTAAAGTTCTGGCTGCATTTACAAAATAAATAGGATTTTAAAAAATCTTTGGGAAACCCTCTAAAACAGGCACAATGTCCATGTTATTTGCTGTATGGACAGTTTGTTTAGAAATGAAAGGCGAAGGGTCTTCTGGAGGCTGACAGCTCCAGTGTTCCAATTCTGCCTTTCCTCTTCCTTGACAGGAGCTCAGCGCAGCTGTCCAGATTGCTGTCGTTTATTCCTGAGCTGCTGGAGTTATTGGCGAAGATGAAGATGGAGGAAGACGCTGCGACAGGAGGCGCCCCAGAGGAAGCAGGAAGAGACCAGGACCAGGACGCTGTAGACTGCAAACCCAAGATGGAGGACAGAACGCAGCCCCCAGAAGCTATGAGATCCCCTCAGAAAGCAGCTCCGCAGCTGGTGAAAGAGGAGCCGGAAGAGGGCTTCTCCCACCAGTGGGAATCCCAGTGGCAGGACTTCCTGAGGACGGTGGAGCCCCCTTGCCAGGGCCCAGAAGCCCAGCCTGAGGAGCCCACGCCATGGGGCGACACAAAGGCCTTCCTGGCCTCTTTTGAGCAAGTGGCCGCCGCCTGCCGCTGGCCCCGGGAGGAGTGGGTGGCGCGGCTCTTGCCGGCCCTCCGAGGAGAAGCCGAGTTGGCCTTTGGCTTGCTGGAGGGCAGCGACCAGGAGGACTACGGGAAGGTGAAGGCGGCCCTCTTGCGCAGAGATGCCCTCGGCCGGGAGAGGAGGCGGCAGCACTTCCGGCGCTTCGGCTATGGGGAGGCCAAGGGGCCCCGGGCCGTTCATGGGAGACTCCAGGAGCTGTGCCACCAATGGCTGGCCGTCGAGAGGCACTCCAAGGAGCAGATCCTGGAGCTCCTGATCCTAGAGCAGTTCCTGACCGTCCTGCCGCCCGAGATCCAGGGCTGGGTGAGGGAACGGGGCCCTGAGACCTGCTCCCAGGCAGTGGCCCTGGCCGAAGACTTTTTGCTCAGGCAACAAGAGGCTGAGAGAGACGGAAGCCAGGTGATTTCTCCGCAAAGTTCCTCTGTGGTGGGACTTAAGGATATGGGTCCAGAAAGCGCACCCTCCAGGTCTAGTTTTTGGGTACAGCTGTGCCCACAACCTGGCCTGGCCTGACCCTCACAGTTGCCCCACAGAGTAAATAACAGGACACCCGAAATCTAGATGCTCAAGTTTGCATTGCATTCCTATTTTCCCTTCCTTCCGATATAGGTAGGAAAGCCTTATTGGTTAATGATCATGATAATTTTATTATTTGTATCCTGCCTATTTGACTGGCTTGCCCCAGCCTCTCTGGGTGGCTTCAAACATATATAAAGGTAAAGGGACCCCTGACCATTAGGTCCAGTCGTGACCGACTCTGGGGTTGTGGCGCTCATCTCGCTTTACTGGCCGAGGGAGCCGGTGTACAGTTTCCGGGTCATGTGGCCAGCATTACTAAGTCGCTTCTGGTGAACCAGAGCAGCGCATGGAAACACCGTTTACCTTCCTGCTGGAGCGGTACCTATTTATCTACTTGCACTTTGACGTGCTTTTGAACTGCTAGGTTGCAGAGACCGAGCAATGGGATTTCACCCCGTCGCGGGGATTCGAACCACCGACTTTCTGATTGGCAAGTCCTAGGCACCTTTTCCTCCAAGGAGCTCCAGGCAGCGTACATGGCTCTGCTCCTCATTAATCCCCACACCAACCCCCTTGCGAGGCAGATCAGGCTGAGAGGCAGTGGCTGGTCCCTCAAGGTCACCCAGGGAGTTTCCTGGCTGAGTGGGGATTTGAACCCTGGTCACCGAGGTCATAGTCTGACACTCTAACCACTACACCACCCTGGCTTTCTGATCAGCCATGATCGCCAACCTTTCTGGGACCGGTGGGCACATTTTGAATGTTGAGAAAGTACTGTGGGCTTCCACGGGGAGCGTGGTGTGGAATAATGCAAAATTAAGAAAAAATATAGTCGTTGCTCCTTCTCTCACCCACAATCTTACGCTTGCCATGCAGTCACCCAGGTTTTGCTGGTCCTGACTGTGGGCATCGCACAATATTGATTTCACCCCCACACACATGCAGCATGTGAAGACCGCTAGCAAGCATTAGCCTCTCTCACAAACACTCATACAGATATTGTACCTCTGTCTCTCTTGCGCACTCCTCCCTCTCTCGGATCAAGCGCATCTCTCTCCGTCGCACCCACAGAGCAGGCTGGAGAAACCCATCACCCCATTGAATCTCCTACAGATTCACGGGGGTTGCCTACCTGTTGCCCAGAGAGGCCTCTACATTAGCCAGAAGATGCATCCGCTGATGGTCCTGCTCTTCCCTCTGTGGCCTCCCCCTGGCCAGCTGCCCCCGGCAGAAAGCCTCCAGGAGCTCCTTTGCTCTGCCCCTGCTGGAGCTGCCCCTTCGGCTGGGGGCCAGTTGCTGTGGGTGGGCGACAACCAGACTCCGAATTCATGGAGACAGGCAGCCTGTATCTGACTGTCTGTATCTGGCTTCCTTGCTGCTCTTGCAGGTGGCCTTGGAGGTGGTGGCTGTGAATTTCTCCGAGGTAGAAACTGCTCCTGCTGGTGGGGAGCAGGAGGGGCCCCTGTGCGCTGAAACAATGCAGGAGGAGGAGGACCAGGAAGCCAGCAAGTTGGGTAAGAGGGGGGGGGTGCCTCCTGCTGGTCTGAGTTCCTTGTTTCTCTGCAGAAAAGCTCAGGAGATGCTCTTGCCATTAGAATATCCAGGCTCTTTGGGGTTTCTAAGGGCGGGAGGTGGGGACAGTGCCCTGAAAAAACACTCCCTTGATGCAATTTGTATTTCTCTCTGGTGGCTCCCATTGTTATCCTCACCAATGCATTAATTGCTGGTGTAATAGTAATAATAATAATAATAATAATAATAATAATAATAATAATAATAATAATAATAAAAAATTTATTATTTATACCCTGCCCATCTGGCTTGGCTTCCCCAGCCACTCTGGGCGGCTTCCAACAAAATATTAAAATACCGTAATGCATCACACATTAAAAGCGTCCCTAAACAGGACTGCCTTCAAACCTGCAAACAGATCTATTTAAAACAAAGCAAGCGCAATACAAAGGAGGAGGCGTTCTTGCAGAGATTCGTTCATTCATTCACTGGGAAAGCCTGTAGGAACAAATATATCTTCAATTGTTTCAGGAATGTGCAGATAGTTGGTGCCTGTCGTATCTCAGCAGGAAAGCTGCTCTGCAGAACAGGAGCAGCCATACTTGAGGCCCTGCTCTGAGTAACTGGGGGGGGGGGTAACTTAATTGCAGGCTGGTACATTCCTCAGACGTACTGCAGTAAACTACATTAAACCAAACGTCCAGCAGTTATTTAGGTAAAAAACCTAAAGATTGCTTGAGCCTCTCTCAACTCCCTTCTGTGAGCTTGCTAATGCTGTTTCCCCTACTAAATGGGTCACGTTATTGTTTGTTTGCTTATTAAATTTGAATATCACTCCCCCCCAAGGAGCTCAAAGTGGCATATGCTGTTATCTTCTCCCCCATTTAATCCCCACAACCATGTGAGCTGGGTTTGGGCTGAGAGTGAATGACTGGCCTAATATCACCCAGTGAGCTTCATGGTCCCGTGGGGTGGGAAATTTGAACCCTGGTCTCCCAGGTCCTTTGCCCCATCACTCTAACCATTACACCACACTGCCTCCCCCTAATGTTCTGATTCTCCACCCTTTATTTCCCCTGCTTTAAAACTCTTGTTTCTTTTCTCTAGCGCAGGGAAAGAGTCATTTGGGATTCTCTCATTTCTTACGCAGGCAAAGAATGGATGGCCGCACACCAGAGGGAGGCGTTCACAGCGGAAGATTCGGGCCAAGCAGGGGTGTCCCTGTGGAAAGCGGAAGAGGTGGTTGCCCAGTGCCGCTTCCAGGAAAATGCCGCCGCCAGTCAGGAGAGGCCTGAGGGCCAGCTGAGGACCTACTCCGGAGGGGAAGGAGACGGATCTGTACCTTGTGTGGGAGATTACACAGCCCTCATTGTGACCACCGTCCAGGCAGGAGTGGACACAGGGAAGAAGCGGAATGCCTGCCGAGCTTACGGGAAAAGCTTCAGCCCGGGTTCCGGCATGCTCAAGAGCCGCCGAGCGGGAGCCAAAGCCCACAAATGCCAGGTCTGTGGGAAGTTCTTCCTTTCCGGCTCCAAGCTCATCATCCACCAGAGGACCCACACGGGGGAGAAGCCCTACGAATGCTCGTCTTGTGGGAAGACGTTCAGGTCCAGCTCGGTCCTGTACCGTCACCAGAGGATCCACACGGGAGAGAAGCCTCACAAGTGCCCCGTCTGCGGGAGGAGGTTCGGCAGCAACTCCAACCTCAATCGGCACCAGAGGATCCACACCGGGGAGAAGCCGTACGAGTGCGCAGAATGCGGGAAGAGCTTCATCCAGAGGGCCAACTTGAATAAGCACCACAAAATCCACCAGGGGGACGGGAAAAGCCGGGAGAGTTTCAGCACAAGCTGAAAGCGCAAAGTGGGTGTGACATGTGTGCACACAGGAGGAAACCGCTTAAGAGACCGGATCGTGCAGCGACACTTTTCAGAGGAATATTTCAGAAAGGGACACAGAAATTCCTGTGTTGCAGCGGGTTGGGCTGGATGACCCTAAGGGTCCCTTCCTACAATTCTGCTTCCACGAACTCCAGAAATCCCAGAGGACTTTTTGGAACTGTTCTGGGTGCATTGATGAGGTGTAAGGTACCGTGGGGGTGAGGGGGGCACTACTGTGAGTGCGCTGGCTGCTCCCCATCATTCGCTCACAGATGCTGAGCGCTTGGGAACGACCCTGGCAAGAGTGCTGTCGCCTTTTGCATGAAGACATCTGCATCCGGTTGCAAAGGCTCCCTATGAAGTGAGGCCTTGTTCTCAGTGCAAGGCAAGATTGTGGGCTGTATTGTATGTTATGTGAAAAAAGGGAGGAGACAAATGTAAACACTAAATAATTTCAGTTGCATTCCTTATTCTTCAAAAACTCCCCTTGCTTTTTCTTCTTTTTTTAATACTGCCTTTCCTTCAAAATCTCAGCCGAGGCAGCTTATAGTTTAAACATGTCCCTTTCATGTTGAGCTAAGGAGAATGACACCAATAACATGAAGAGAGCAACAGGCAAAGCCAGCGGTCAGTGCAATTGCAGTGGAGCAAATTCAATGTTTTCATCAGTTAGGCAGAGAAAGGGCCTTAGCTCAGTGAGAAAGCACGTACTCAGCATGTAGAAGGAGCCAAGTTCAGTCCCCAATGGCATCTCCAGGGAGGGCTGGAGAAGACCCTCTCTGAAATCAAGGGGGGAGATGATACTGAACTAGTATCTGACTCTACCAGGCAGCTTTCCGGATGAGAAGTTGAGCGTTCTGTTGACAGGGATCTCCTAAGGTTGCTTGGAGAGGCAGAAGGTTGTGCATTTATTTATTTTTTAAAGTTTGGGTTGTGTCCAACCGATTCTCAGAGAATCCATCTCATTGAAATTAATGAACTTATGTAGGTCCATTAATTTCTATGGGATGTATTCAGCATAACGCTAAAGCGATCGCTCACTCCAATGCTGTAGAAGCATTTCTGTTTGCCTGATGGAATGATCTCTCCTCCCCAACACCCCTCCCAGCCAGTTTTTGGAGTGGGGGCAGGAGGAAAGTCCCATTGCACTCTCTGATGGGAATGGACTTCCCAGGGGGCACCTGGGGGGCCAGAGCTCAAGAGGGTGATGGATTAGATCTAGAATCTTAAGTCACTAGGTGGACTGTGGGTTGCCTCCTACAAAGCAGCTGATTCTTCTCCAGAAGGGGCATTTTCATCAGTCCAGCACAAACTGAGTGATCCCATCTCTGGAGCAAAGGCACCAACAAATCCCAGGTAAATGAACCAGGAATGGAACCACTGACCATTTTATTTTAATGGGAATTAGCTGAAATGACTGGTTTACGTATTTGTTTCCTCCAAAGAAGGACTTCAGATTCCCCAAACTTGACCAGCTCTCATGCCTGGAAGAAGTTGCAATTGTCTGTGGCCTGGACGATGGAGAGAAATGTTCAGGTAGCTCTTTCAATGTGCGTTTGGATCCTTTGGTGAGCTGAGCATGGTCAGGCTTCTGCAGAGAGGTTACTGAATCCTCCATTATGATACATGCAAAATAAGGCTGCTGACATGGACGTAGCCAGGAATTTTAAAAACCAAGTTATCTGCAACGCAACTGGTCAGTTAAGTATTTTATTTACTTGATGGGGGGCAGCTACCCCCTTTGCCCCCTCCTGGCTATGTTCATGACCCATGGCACCTTGAGATGCATGCAGAGGCTAGTTAAGAGTCTGATGAGTCACTGGGTACAAGAGTTAGGAACACTCCTCTTCCATGGGAGCAATCATTTTAAAGGTAAATCCAAGGTCAAGAGGATGGATGGACAAATCCACAACTTGCTGCCTACAAGGGCATAATTTGGGAAACACTGTGAATTGCCCCTTTTGATGGCAGAAATGCTCAGGCCAAGACAACTCACCAACACACATAATTTTGAAGTGAACCGATTTGAATGTTTCTTTCCCCCTTGGGCTCTGACTGGGTTTCTCTCTTTATTCCAGCAGGTGGTGAAGGGAAGACCAGAAATGAGGGGAAACCGGATAGCATCCCATCAGAAAGAGGCAAGCCCTAGGAAATAAAGGGAATTTTTGCTTCCAAGACGGAATAATGAAGCAAGGGGCAAACTAGATCAGAAAGAGGATACCACAAGTGGGGATAATGAATGTTGTGCACTTGTTGTGCTCAGGTGCTGCTTGCAGGTTTCCCACTGAGGAATCTCATTGCGAGAACAGGATGCTGAACTAGATGGGGCCCCTGGTCAGATCCAGCAGGGCTTCCGTTTTTTTAAATATTGATTTGGGTTTAGATGAATTTAGGGATGAACTTTTTTATCAGTAGTTAAGGTTGTGTTTCCAAGCTTTTTTACTTGTAAACTTGAAGCGTTTGATGCTGTTTTAAAGATGAGCGTCCTATTACCTAGTAACATCTGTATATAACTATGTAATTACCACTGTATTTACTCTTACTGATTAGGTTGTGTGTGTTTTCCTCTTCTATATTCCCAGCTATAAACTAGAATAAACACACCTTCATTCTAAATTACAGAGAGAACAATTTCTTTAAAGTGAGATCTATAGCAGTGTTCATCTACAAACTGAACACATCATTGAGCATTTATATTTGGACCATCTCACTTGCTCCTGCTCATTCCAACTTACAAGTGGGTTTCCAAAAGCAGTCTACTTTTCTGAGCCATTCTATACAAGATCGTTTTTTGAACATTAGATGCCAGGAACATAACCAGGAATATTCCACTTGCAGAGAATGTTTTCTACAAATCCATTTTGTTTAATGGGAGCCATGTGATACTCTATGGCTAAGCCATGTAGCTTTGGAACATTGTCAAAAGAGTAAAGTCCTGCTGCCAAAGCAGGGGCCTGCTCTGCTTAAGCAGTTGTAAGATACAACCCATATGGCATACAAAACAAGTAATGAGGTGTGTGGGTTTGGTCATAACAATAAAAAGAACTTTATACATGTGGGGGAGTATATTATTTGGAAGAGGTGTGTATCTGAAGAAGTGTGCATGCACACGAAAGCTCATAGTAATAAGAAACTTAGTTGGTCTCTAAGGTGCTACTGGAAGGAATTTTCTTTTTATTTGGAAGATGGTTGTTGATTTAATCCAACTGGTTTTGCATTTTTCACCATGTAAAAATATGCAAAGTATGTTTATTCCTATCTTTTCTGTATCATTTTAATTTTAATATGTCTGCTGCATAAGGGAGCACTCTCATTATTTATTATAAATGGGCATCTAATGGAAGGCTTACTTTTGAAAAATATTGGATGCCATCACAGGAAACCATTTTTAAAAAGTGGCTCCTAGAAGGAAAACATGAAATTGGTCAGGCTATGTGTCCTAAAAACAAATTCAAAGGTGAAGCATGGAGAACGATAATCAGTTGTTTTAATTGTAGAGAACATAAACCAAACCATGAATTAAGCTTTTAAAGAAACCCCATTTGCTTTAAAAATTAACAGTGTACGTGGAGATCCAATGTCTTTATGATCCTGTCTGCTAATGAGTAATATTTCTGTATGGATCTAATTTGTGCAAGTAATTTCAACAAAAATAGGGATGGAAAAATTAAGTACAGATTCTTGAACAAATCCTTGCTCATACCATGGATATGGGCCATGACAAGGCAGCTGACAAGGCCCCTTTTGGGTGCTGGATCCAACCCCTGCCATCTCCTTCTTCCCAAGCGCTATTTGCTCTGACTATAGAACTATGTCAAATCACGAGCATCACATCAGAGTTTGAGAATCTGGGCAAACAAGTCCCTATTTTTTATTTTTCTGTACACAAAAGCATCTTATGTGCGGCAAGAGGGTCTCATCCGGCTGAAGCAGCTTCCATGTTTGCCGTCCTCTTGAGGCCATCTCTGCGGGTGGACAGATGTTTAATCCAGCTGAAAAGTGGGAGAGAGAAGAGCGAAGACGTTTAGCATGACTTTCCCTTGGAGTCCCCCCAAACCGGGGCTTCTTCCTCTGGGCCTGTGACTGCCAGGACCCAGAGGCCCCTTTTTCTATCCTCAGGCATCTCTCCTCTTGGGAAGGAGCAACTTGCTCCTCGGCCCTTCTGCCCGCCATTTAGGCTCAGGGAAGCGCAAGGAGCAGGGCTGACGGCCCTCGCTGGCCTCTCTCCCTGGAGAAGCCCCCGCCCCCCCCGTCCCAGAGCCCCTCCATCCTCCCTGGCCCCCCATCTCACCTTGATGAAGCCGATGTCCTTGGCGTACTGGCGGAAGCACTGGCGGCACATGTTGAGCCCGTACTTGCGGATCAGGCCGTGGCGGTTGGAGCAGACGCGGCTGGGGGGGAGAGGAAGAGGCCCATGGGTCAGCTGGTGAGGCAGGAGGGACGGGGACCCCCCTCTTCCCCTTGGAGGAAGTGCCCCCTCAGCCCAGCTTCCCACAGGGGGGAGAGAAAGAGAGGCCTGGGGGTTATCAGGGACCCCCCATTCCCTGTACTGCCCCTTCCCCCACACGGAGGCACCCCCTCCGTCCCACTCCCACGGGGGGGGAGAGAAATACCTGTGGTTCAGGGGGGACGGGGACCCCCCTATACTCCCCCCTCCCTATACTACCCCCCTCAGACCCCCTCCGGGCTTGGCTGCCCTTCCCCCCCCGCCCTCTAAGAGTCCAGAGGAGGGGGGGGCCTCCCTCTCTTTCCCTCCCTGAGGCGCCTCATGGCGGCGGGGCCCCCTCCCTCCCTCCCCTAACCCTCCTCTCCCCCCCCTACTCCCTCCCGCCCCCTCCCTCCCCCGCCCCCCACCCACCAGGATCGGGATCCCTGGCCGAACTTCCTCGGGTGGCTCCAGTAGAGCTGCTGGTGCCCCATCTTGCTCGGCGCCTGGCGTGGAGGGAAAGGCCGGGCCCCACTGCGCACGCGCGCCTGGAGGGGAGGAAGAGCCTCTCCCGGCGTGCCCCGCGCCCGCCCGAGCTCCGCCCCCTCTCCCCTGACGTCACGGCGCGCCGAGCCAAGAGCCTCTCTTCCCCTTCTCTCTGCAGCCTGGAGGAAGAGGCTCTCCCGTCGTGCCCCGCGCCGGCCCAGGCCCCGCCCCTCTCCCCTGACGCTACGTCTTCCCGCGCCCCCGCCTGCCCAGCCCCGCCCCCTCTCCCGTGACGTCAGGGCGCGGCGAGCCAAGAGCCTCTTTTGCCTGCGCTTCTGCCAGCCGGGCGCGGTGGCGCGTGCCTGTAATCCAGCTACTCCTGGAGGCTGAGTCTGGCGGATCGCTTGAGCTCAGGAGTTCGGGGCTGCTGTGGGCTATGCCGATCGGGTGTCCGCACTAAGTTCGGCATCAATATGGCGAGCCCCGGGGAGCCGAGGCGCGCCAGGTTGCCCAAGGAGGGGTGAACCGGCCCAGGTCGGAAACGGAGCAGGTCAAAACTCCCGTGCCGATCAGTAGTGGGACCGCGCCTGTGAATAGCCGCTGCAGCCTCGCCTGGGCAACACAGCGAAACCCAGACTCTTTTGCTGCCGGGGGAAAGAGGAATAATATTAAGGGCAATGGGGAGAGGACTTTTTATTGCATTCAGCAGCAAGAAAATAATAATAATAATAATAATAATAATAATAATAATAATAATAATAATGGGGAGAGAGAGAGGAGCGCTGCAGCCTCGCCGGGGCAACACAGCCAAACCCAGACTCTTTTGCTGAATTCTATTAATTAATAATAATAATAATAATAATAAGGGCAATGGGAAGAGGACTTTTTATTGCATTCAGCAGCAATAAAATAATAATAATAATAATAATAATAATAATAATAATAATAATAATAATAATAATAATGGCAATGGGGAGAGAGAGAGAGAGAGAGGGGCGCTGCAGCCTCGCCTGGGCAACACAGCGAAACCCAGACTCTTTTGCTGCCGGTGGAAAGAGGAATAATAATAATAGTAATAATAATAATAATAATATTAAGAAGGGCAATTGAGAGAGGACTTTTTATTGCATTCAGCAGCAATAAAATAATAATAATAATAATAATAATAATAATGGCAATGGGGAGAGAGAGAGGGGGGCGCTGCAGCCTCGCCTGGGCAACACAGCGAAACCCAGACTCTTTTGCTGCTGGTGGAAAGAGGAATAATATTAAGGGCAATGGGGAGAGGACTTTTTATTGCATTCAGCAGCAATATAATAATAATAATAATAATGCAGCCTCGCCGGGGCAACACAGCCAAACCCAGACTCTTTTGCTCATTGGAATAGTAATAATAAAATAATAATTATAATAATAAGGGCAATTGGGAGAGAGGCGCTGCAGAAAGAACAATGCTAAATGCATTTATTCCACAAGGGCAGAACAATAGATTCCATCAAGGGAACTCGCCCCCCGCCTTTGCCCCCCGGATGAGACAGAGGGTCTCTGGCCGCTTGCAGGAACTCCTCAGCCCGCAGGAAAAGCGACGGGCCCCGCGGGCGCGGAGATCTCGGGGAGGGAGCGGGTTGCAGGGAGTGTTGGCCGGGAAAGGGAGTTTGCTCGGCGGCTCGCCAGCCCCTTCTCTCCCCGCTGGGCTGCATTTCTGCAAAGAACTTCTCCACTGACCGGACAGAGCCCAATGGGCTCCTGCGCTGCGCGACCGCCTCCTCCTGGCCAGAGCGAAGAAGTGCCGCTCGGGCCGCGCGCACTTCCCCCAGCCGCCAGCAGGGGTCAGCGCAGCAGCGCTTCGGCATAGGAAGGGGGGGAAGAAAGATGCTTTTAGGATCTTTTAGCTGCGGAAACAGATAAGCCCTTCTAGAAGTGGAATCACAGGGTAAATGAGCAAGCTCAGCTTTATTTAGAAATGGGGAAAAACGTGATCCCCCACAATGCATATTCCGATTCCCAGACACGGTCCATTGAAGCTGCCCCTAAACTGGTTTCCAGATGTTTGGGACTACAAGTCCCATCACCCCTGATCATCACCCTTGCAGGGCCCTGGTCTTCGTGGTGCATCCTGGAGTCCCTTGGTGCCTCCAGAGACTGCCAGGATTTTGCGGGAGCGATTTAAGGTATGGTTAGCAGATTTTTGTCAATGAATCCAGGGACACTTTTTACATAATTGCGAAACATAAATGCACCGGCGCTCCGGAGGCGCAAAAGCTGCGCACGGACAGGGAGAATCGCTCTTGCTCTAGTCTACCGGATGCCAATCTGCCAGGCGGACTGCGCTTTCAGGATGATTATGCATTACTAGAGGAGAAGCTGACAAACATCGTTGTGGGCTGGTCTCTTTTTAATGAGCGCCAGGTACAAGCGCAAGAGAGGATGAAGAAAAGGATGCAGTTAAGGGACCTGGCTGGTATGCACAAAGTATAAAAAGGTAAAGGTACCCCTGCCCGTTCGGGCCAGTCTTGCCAGACTCTGGGGTTGTGCACCCATCTCACTTAAGAGGCCGGGGGCCAGTGCTGTCCGGAGACACTTCCGGGTCGCGTGGCCAGCGTGACAAGCTGCATCTGGCGAGCCAGAGCTGCACACGGAAACGCCGTTTACCTTCCCGCCAGTAAGCGGTCCCTATTTATCTACTTGCACCGGGGGTGCTTTCGAACTGCTAGGTTGGCAGGCGCTGGAACACTGAGGCTTTTACCCACAGCGCCACCCGCGTCCCTGCACAAAGTATATCCAGTCCTTTTTTTCTAGAAAAAGAGGTGTCGCTTCTCACCATGAAGTTGTTACAGTAAGTGCTGCACTTTTTTAACCGAAAAAAAAAAAAAAAGTTGGTGCCGGTACTGCGTATCTGTAACCTGAAGCGTATGTAACCCGAGGTACCATTGTATTCCAAACAGTGCCAGATTTAAGTACAGTGGTACTTCAGGTTACAGACGCTTCAGGTTACAGACGCTTCAAGTTACAGACGCTTCAGGTTACAGACTCCCCTAACCCAGAAATAGTACCTCGGGTTAAGAACTTTGCTTTAGCATGAGAAGAGAAATCACGCGGCGGCAGCAGCTGGAGACTCTTGTGCTTGGGTCTTGCTAGAGTGGGTTTCAGCCACTATGAAAACAGGATTCTGAACTAGCCATTGGCCTGATCCTGCAGGCTCTTCCTATGATTAGGAGGTCCATAGTCACTGAAAAAATGAGTTACGTGGAGGTATTTGACAGAAGAAAGAGAAAGACCATCGCATTGTAGAGTTGGGACCCCAGGGAAGGGTCCCTTATTCCAGCCCCTTGCAATGGCTTCATCCAGGTGTTTGGGGAGACGGTACCAGGCGAAAGTGGTGGCAAGGGAATGAGGCATAGCTGTCAACTCTTCCCTTTTCTTGCAAGGAATCCTATTTGGAATAAGGGAGTTTCCCTTAAAAAATGGGAAATGTTGCCAGCTCTGGAATGAGGTCGGAATCTTTGGAGGGAGCAGGAGACCCCTGAATAACTGGGGATGGGGGAAGGGAGCAGCCAAAGCCATTGCGTGGATCCGACCTTCTAAAATCCCTTTATTGTTGTTTAGTCGTGTCCGCCTCTTTGTGACCCCCTGGACCAGAGCACGCCAGGCCCTCCTGTCTTCCACTGCCTCCCGCAGTTTGGTCAAACTCATGCTGGTAGCTTCGAGAACACTGTCCCACCATCTCGTCCTCTGTCGTCCCCTTCTCCTTGTGCCCTCCATCTTTCCCAACATCAGGGTCTTTTCCAGGGAGTCTTCTCTTCTCATGAGGTGGCCAAAGTACTGGAGCCTCAGCTTCAGGATCTGTCCTTCCAGTGAGCACTCAGGGCTGATTTCCTTCAGAATGGAGAGGTTTGATCTTCTTGCAGTCCTTGGGACTCTCAAGAGTCTCCTCCAGCACCAGAATTCAAAAGCATCAATTCTTTGGCAATCAGCCTTCTTTATGGTCCAGCTCTCACTTCCATACATCACTACTGGGAAAACCATGGCTTTAACTATACGGACCTTTGTTGGTAAGGTGATGTCCCTTACCTGGCCCCATTTGCCACCACCCTCTGATCAATAAAGCCTAGGAGTAGTTCTGGGAGGTGCAAACATCCCCCCCCCGGCAGCATCTTAAACACTGCTTGGCCCTGGGATCTCGCACGCTCTGCGCTTTTGCGAATCGCTTTCAACAGCCAAATCAATATTCCGTGCAGGGTAGTACAAACAGTGGGCTAATGGTCAAATCACTATTTTAATTTAAAACAGAGGAAAAGGAGACATCTATTATCTGTGGCAATAAATATTCTGCAGCCGCTGCGTGCTGGGTTAATAATCCCACGGACGCATATGTTGAACTGAAATTAAATGAGATCATTTGAAGAGGGGGAGTGTTTTGCTGTGATCCTTGTGCCGGATTTCCGAAGGCAGGTGGCAGACTTGCCACGCAGCTGAGGATGCTTTTTGTAGTCAGCATTTGGGCGGGGGGGGGCACTTAAAAGGGGGGCTTAAAAGGCCAAGGCCTTTGGCCAAGGCACAGTCTGACCCCCTCTCTCCTTCGGTAATCCACATAGAACTCTAGCCCAGTGGTTGCCATTAATTTGATTTTGAATTGATTTTAGAATGAGTTGATTTTAGAAAGCATTTCAATTAATTGATTGTTATTTTATGCAAACTGTGTTACTTTTATTGTGGTTAGCTGCTCTGAGCCCGGCTTCGGCTGGGGAGAGCGGGATATTAATAATAATAATAATAATAATAATAATATGGATGCTGCCCTTCTTTGGGGCTGCAAATGGGCAGCTTCAGGTTCAGTTAAGGGAGCCATAATGATCAAGGCGCTGGAGCAACTCTCCTAGGAGGAAAGGATTTGGGGCTTTGTAGTTTAGGGAATCAAAGAACTTTAGTGTTGGAAGGGACCCTCAGGGTCATCTAGTCCAACCCCCTGCAATGCAAGAATCTCAGCTTAAGCATCCATGACAGATGACCACCCCAAGCTCTGCTTAAAATACTCCAAGGAAGGAGGGTCCACGTGGGTGATGGAGGACATGG